AGTTTTGGTCTTATTTCAATATAACTTGGCACACAAGTTGACTACACTAAGATACTCGTACATAATTAAGTACATTGGTTTTTGATTTTGATGAACGGTATTGCCATGGTTACAACAAATATAAATATGTGTGAAATTATTTAAAAATGCTACGCCTACAGTTTTAATCTAATTCAATATTACTTGGCACATAAGTTGACTACACTAAGATACATTATTCTGTATATCGGTTTTTCAGTTTCCATGGTTACTAAAAATATAAATATCTTTGAAATACTTTCAAACGCTACTCATCCTACAGTCTTGGTCTGATTTCAATATAACTTGGCACACAAGTAGACTACACTCAGATACATAATTCTATTTATCCGTTTTTATTTCGATGAGTGGTGTTGCCATGGTTACTAAAAATAGAAATTTCTCTCATATTCCTTTAAAACGCTATTCCTCCTACAGTTTTGGTCTGATTTCATTATAACTTGGCAAACAAATAGACTACACTAAGATACATAATTCTATTTATAAGTTTTTAATTTTGATGAAAGGCCTTGTCGTGGTTACTAAAAATAGAAATTTCCAAAAAATTCTTTCGAAATACTACTCCTCCTACAGTTTTTGTTTGATTTCAATATTACTTGTTACACAAGTAGACTACACTATGATACACAATGCTTTGTAGTGATGTTTTATTTCAAGACTAAACCCTAAAACGCAAAATGAGTTGACAATATCATGATTCATAGTTAATGTCTATGATAAGGTTCCTCCCATCTCTACATACTGAAATAAAACGATTTATGCAAAACGATTAGTGCATGACTTCATGTGTAGCCTAGACAAACTTTTTGTAAAGACTAAACCCAATCCCGGCCCTATAGGTCCAAGCTCCATTTATAAAGAAGTGTTTCTTTTGTATTATTTCAATTTCAAAGAAACTTAAGATATTTTTATCAAATCTTATATGGTTATACATATTGATCAGAGCTGTTCAACTGCATCAACAGTTTTTGACATTGATCTCATTTATTTTAAGATATTATTAAGCTAGGTTTCAATTCAAGATATTTTAATCAAACCTAATATTCTGATGCATATTGGTGAGAGCTACTCTACTGCATCAACCTTTACCTTTCCTTTGACCTTGACTTCAAATCTGTGTTAAGCAAAATTTCAAAGAAAGTATTCAAGATATTTTTATCAAAGTTTATATGCTTAATATACATATTGATGAAACCTTCTCAATGACATCAACAATTTAGACCCTGACCTTTTCTTTGAACTGGACTTTAAATTTTGAAAGCAACAAGAGGCCCATGGGCTACATTGCTCATCTGAGCATTTTGGCTAGGAGTTCAGTATTTTATAAGTGGTATCAAACTACCCCTAAGGGGACCCGGAGGAGGGATGATTTGAACAAACTTGAATCTTCACTAACTGTGGATGCTTCCATATTTCTTTGACAAATCATGGCTTAAGAAGATTTTTATAGATTTTTTCCCATAAGTTTTATCTTCTATTGTGGCAACGCCCTATCCCCAGGGGACATAATCTTTGCTGTTCTTGAGAAGATTTTTTCAATGTACATCTATGTAAAATCTTTGTCTATTGTAACCTCACCCTACCCCTGGGGGTCATGATTTGAACAAACTTAAATCTGAGGATGCTTCCACACTTTAATCATGCTCTGCTGTTCTTGAGAAGATTTTTAAAGATTTTCTCTATGTATTCCTATGTAAAATTTTGATCATAGACTGTGGCCCCACCCTACCCCTGGGGATCAGGATTTGAATATGAATCTACACTACCTGAGGATGTTTCCACATATGTTTCATCTTTCCTGGCTTTGCTGTTATAGAAAATTTTTTTTCTTATGTACTCCAGCATTCTCATGTAAAACTTTGATCGTCCATTGTGGCCCCACCCCAACCCCAGGGGCCATGGTTTGAACAAACCTGAATCTACACTACCTGAGGATGTTTCCAAATAATTTCGTGAAAAGTTAACGACGACAGACAACGGACAAATTTTGATCAGAAAAGCTCACTTGGGCCTTCGGCTCAGGTGAACTAAACCAGAAGTCTCTAATGAGACTGTAGCTCTACTGGTCTGTACGTATAACAAAGGAAAAGTAGCACTTGGACTTGAAACTTTGCAACATGCAGCAATAAATATAATTATCTATCTTAATGTAGTCTACTTGTGTGCCAGGTTATATTAAAATCAAACAAAAACTGTATGAAGAGTTACTGTAGCATTTTGAAAGTATTTCACAGAAATTTCTATTTTAAGTAACCATGGCAACACCATTCACTAAAATCAAAAACTGATATACACTATTATGTATCGTAGTGTAGTCTAATTGTGTGCCAAATTATATTGAAATCAGACCAGAACTGTAGCAGGAGTAATGTTTTAAAGGAATTTTACAGAAATTCATCAAAATCAAAAAACCAATTCATCAATTATATTTACTTAAGATTCTTTGCAGTTTCGAAAAAGCTTATGCTCTCATGAACTACTGTGGGATGAGTAAGAATATTTCCATTGCGATGTAATTGATTGATTGTATGTTGTGTTACGTCCCATTCGAGAATTTTTCACTCATATAGAGACGTCACCATATACCGATGAAGGGCTTCAAATTTTGACCTTTACTCGGCACTCAAGGCCATTGAGCAGTGAAGGATCTTTATCGTGCCAACGCCTGTCGTGACACGGGGCCTCGGTTTTTAAGGTTTCATCCGAAGGACCCGCAACTTTCACTTCAAAGTGCCAAGCGCATGGCGAAGGAACAGTTGTTACCCATTTTTTATCGACTTAGGTCTGTCGCGGCCGAGATTCGAACTCACGAACGACCTCCCGATCACGGAGCGAGCGCTCTACCGACTGAGCTACCGTGAACGGTCGTGATGTGATTGAAGTCAAGAAAAAAAATTGTGCAAACTTAAAAAAAAAAAAAAAAAAAAAAAAAAAAAAAAAAAAAAAATCGTTGAAATGACAAAAATATGTGGCAATTCATCGCTTGATATGTGACAATACAACGCTTCATGCCTGCATATTTATCAAGAAGCGCTAACGCGCTTCATGAAATATGCAGGCGTGAAGCGTCGTAGTTCATGTCCTCATGAATTCTCAAAAATTAAATTCATCTCTTAAATGTATCTTTATGTAGTCTGCTTGTGTGCTAAGTTATATTTAAAATCAGACTAGAACTGTAGAAAGAATTGCGTTTTCAAAGAATTTTACAGATATTTCTATTTTTAGTAACCATGGCAACACTGTTCATCGAAATCAACTAGATGCAAAAAATTATGTATCTTAGTGTATTCTACTTGTATACCAAAATATATTAAAATCAGATCAGAACTGTAGCATTAGTAGCATTTTAAAGGAATTTCACAGAAATGTCTATGTTTAGTAACCATGGTAACAGCATTCATCGAAATCAAAAACTGATGCAGTAATTATGTACCTTAGTGTAGTCTATTTGTGTGCAAGTTATTTCAAAATCAAACAAAACCTGTAGGAGAAGTAGCGTTTTAAAGGGAAATCGTAGATATTTCTATTTTTAGTAACCATGGCAACACCGTTCATCAAAATCAAAAACCGATGCACTGAATTATGTATCTTAGTGTAGTTTACTTGTGTACCAGGTTATACTGAAATCAGACCAAAACTGTAGGAGTAGCATTTTAAAGGAATTTCTATTTTTACTAGCCATGGCAACACCGTTCATCAAAAACCGATGCACTAAATTATGTGTCTTAGTGTAGTCTATGTGCCAAGTTTTATTGAAATCAGACCAAAACTGTAAGAGGAGTAGTGTTTTAAAGGAATTTCACAGAAATTTCTATTTTTAGTTACCATGGCAACACCATTCATCAAAAACGGATGCACTAAATTATGTATCTTAGTGTAATCTACCTGTGTGCCAAGTTATATTGAAATCGGACCAAACTGGAGGAGGAGTAGTGTTTTAAAGGAATTTCACAGAAATTTCTATTTTTAGTAACCATGGCAACACCGTTCATTGACATCAAAAACGGATGCACTAAATTATGAATATTAGTGTAGTCTACCTGTGTGCCAAGTTGTATTGAAATCGGGCCAAACTGGAGGAGGAGTAGTGTTTTAAAGGAATTTCACAGAAATTTCTATTTTTAGTAACCATGGCAACATCGTTCATCGACATCAAAAACGGATGCACTAAACTATGTATCTTAGTATAGTCTACTTTTGTGCCAAGTTATAATATATTAAAATCAGACCAAAACTGTAAGAGGAGTAGCATTTTGAAAAATTGTTTACAGATAGACGACAGACACCTTACTATTGCATAAGCTCTGCTGGTCTCTAACTGGTAGAGCTAAAAAGCAAGATATTTTTATCAAACTTCATATGCCCACACATACGATCAGAATTATTCAACTTCATCAACATTTTTTTTACCTCAATCTTTCCTTTGACCTTGACTTCACTTTTCTCATTTTTTTTTGCTCAAACTATTCCAGATATTTTTATGCAAGTTTTTGCATTTACATGTATACATTAATAGGTGAGAATTTATTACCTGTGTCCATTCTGTTTTTATCTTGACCTTTCCCATTGCCCTTTGACTTTACTACTTATTGAATATTTAACTCAGTTTTAAAGAAACTATTCAAGGTATTTCCGTCAAACTTCACACACTAATAAAAATTTTCATGTTGCACTACTAATGAACTCTGGGTGGGGCATTCATGTACTATGGACATATTTCTACCATAGTTCCCCCCTCCAACCCCCCAAAGTCAGTATCTCTCAACACCTATGTGACATGATTTCAAACATAAAATTGAATTCAGATGACAGATGGAATTCATATCGTGGCTTATTCCACAGTATAATACATATGTGTTTTCCATCTTTAACATGTCTACAGATATCCCAAAGTGTCATTTTTCATGATTGATATCCTAATCAAATCAAACATCTCTTCTCAAATAAAAACAGCAAGGCAGTTTCTTTTCTTTTTTTTAATTTCTATTTTCCTGGTGCACAGTCACTACTCCTGCAAAAGGAAAGAAAAAGTATGAAAATCTGGAGATTTACATTTCCCATTACACTAACTTCATGCATGACTACATTGAGGTTCTAACTTATTGTTACTTCTGATTTCTTTGATGTCTTACAATGAAAGAACAAATTTTGATCACTATAAAGACGGGCGTTAGAATTATATTTTAAAATTTTTAAAATAATTTCTTTTTTATATAAAGAAAAGAACTTACATCTGGAACTTCTATTTCTCCAGAATTGATTTTGTCAATGATATCATGAGGTGGACACCTCTCAACAGAGCACCCAACAGACTGTGCAGTACCTGTCAAGATTTCAAAAAAATGTCAGAGGAACCTTGTCAAAATCCTTTTACTTCACCACACATATTTAAAATGTTTTAAATATTTTAAAATGGATACGCATAAGCAAGAAAATTAACTTGATTCATTTTAATTGCACTGTAAGAATGCCTGATGAACATGAATTCACTCACCTAAGATTTCTTTACAGGTGCCAGCAAGTGATTTTGCCATACTTCTTGGACGCATCTGTCGTGCAATACCAATGATGTCATCCATCGTCAGATTTCCACTGTGTTTCACTGTGGAAGCAGAGAGAAGCATTGTCATTTGTTTATGACTGAAATAATAAACAGTATACATTTTTATTCTGTCACCTTTTTAATAAAAGAAAATGGAGATAGCAGCATGAAGACTTGACCACATTTCCCAAATGGTTAATCCTCAATTGTATTTTAGATGCATAAATCAGAAGACTATAAAATACATGGACAGCTCAAACATTGGGAAAAATTACTGTACATGTACATAAATTGGTGTATTCAAAATTTAGCGCAATCACTGCGTATGGAATTGTTGGCATAATCATGAATTAGCGCTACACATGTCCGTGCCGTATATTGTATATATAAATGATTACTTAGCAGTATTCATAAATTAGCGAATTGTTGTCTGCGCCAAAGCCATTAAAATATGAAGCTCGCTTTTTTAAGTACACACAGGGATTTATCAGCCTATTTTGGGAAACGCCATTTTTGGGGAATTGGGAAAAAATTATCGGCTATTTGATGAAGTTGGGAAAAATTTAAAATGTTGCTTAAAGCCTGTACTCAGGTGTAATTCATTTAACATTTCAGCATGAACTCTAGTTTGGGCAACCAAACAGACAATTAAATATGATCAACTTCATCATACAATATCAATTATGAATAACAGACTAATAAAAGTAAATTTGACTTCAATGAGTATAAAGTATTTACCTATACAACTAAGGGTAGTACACATGTGTATAATCCAAATTAGTTCACTATAGAATCTGTTTCTGGAGATTATAAACCTCCTGCAAAATATTATACTAAGTACACATTTTCTCAAAGTACTCTTTAAATATGTATTAAAACATTGAAAATACATTTTTCTATCTGAAATAATGCGTACAGTCCTTACCATTCACTCGTAGATCAATTGAGTAGGTGGAAATAATTTAATAAATCTATACAATTACACAATATCACCATTTTCAGAAAAAAAAAAACAGAGGGAATTCGGATGAAAAGTTGGCGATGTTTTTACAGTGTTTTTAAATGTGTTATGACTGTGGCTTTGCTAAATGAGTTAAATAGATGAAAATTACAGACAATTTGACAATTTTGCTCAGTGTTTTTTTCCCAAGATAATTAAATATAAAAGCATTGTTCACCAATTGGGAAAAAATACTGCCAAATTGGGAAAAAATGAATTTATTTTCAATTGGGAATGGGGCCGAATTTTGGCCCCTGAGAAGGTACTGATAAATCCCTGACACATATAGTATTTGTTTTGTAAAATGGGTCCTAATTTTACTTTGATCAACAATCATGTAAAAAGTTTAACATTCTTACCATGTTTAACCTTCTTTCTGTCTCTGGGTGGCTCCTTCAGTGATTTGATGATGAGGGAGGAGGCACTGGGCACCACCTCAACCTTGGCCTGTCGATTCTGTACCACTAATTTCACCGTTATCTTTAGTCCTTTCCAGTCTGTAGTACCTTTGGCAATATCGTCACCAACTTTCTTTGGGGACTAAAATTTAATGAACATAAAATCACATTTCTATTACTTTCTCAATCATCATCATAGCTCCTGCTTGCATTTGGTTAAAGCTAACACCATGCATCATTCTAAATATTCATGGAGTAAGGAGTTAACCTAATGTCTCAGGTCTGAATCCCATTGTGGGACGTGGAGACTGAACCTTTGGATGACACCTTATAAACCAAGTTAATTTAGATGTTGTTGACATGTTACATACAAAGATCAAATTCCTCAGATACTTTTTCAAAAATATTCCAAAGTCAACTTCAGTCAAAAACTGATTTATTCTTGTTAATTCTACAATGTTAAGCAATCGATTCAAGTCAGTAGCTCTTGTACCTTGGTTAATTACAAAAAGAAATAAGATGCATGCAACTTTTTTTCGAAGTAAAAAGCAGCAATATTTATATAATGATTCCCCTTATGAATATAATATGACCTGCAATCCAGTAGTGGTCAAGGGCACCAAATTTAACACAAAAGGAGAAAAAATATGGCCAGACCTTTAATCAAACCAGGGACCCCTGCACTGCTGGTCAGGTGCTTTAACCAGTACCACTGGGCCAGCTGAAGTTGGATCCCAGCCATATGTTTTCTCTCTTCCAGTTGCATTTGGTGTTATTGACCACCTTTGGACTTGAGGTGTCAAGTCCTGCAAGGGGCTGAAGAATCTGTATTGTGCATCTTAGAGGGCAGAGATAATTCAAGGAGAAATGCATGTAGTTGGGCAATATCAGCCTGGAAAGCTCAGTAGTTAAAGCACCAGACTTTTTCAGTTGTAATGCAGGGGTCCCAAGTTAGTTTCTTTGTTCAGTCTAATTTTTTTCCCTTTCTCATTACAAAACCTTTATATTTCATTTATATTTCAATAACATGAAAATCTCACATCTAAAAGCATTGAATCAACTTCCCTAAAAAATATTATCCACAATACCCAGCATCAAGTGGCAAAGTACACAACACAAACATCTATACATTTTGATTATTTTCTGATTTACATTATGTAGAAAAACTTTCATACTTCTCTCAGTTATTAAACTTTTGATGTAACTTACCAGACCCAAGGGACCGATCTTAGGAGCCAAAGAGGATGTAGCTGGAACTTCTCCGCCTACTGCCTTCACATACACTGAATGACAGAAAATAAAACATTTAACTCTCATGATACTCATTGGCATCTCGTAATCATACCTGTGATATACCAAGTACACAATGCCCTAAATAGTAAATACTAAGTCATTTACTATACTTGTCTACACCTTTGATTCCAACTCTAATGGCTGCCTTTTCATATGAACTTTTGTATCAACTGGTACAGGCCATTCTCCATACTCATAGTACTTTAATTGGTCATGCCTCCCGACTTAAATGCTGAAGTTGGGTTGGAGAAAAATATTTTTTATGCTGGTTTCTTTTTTACTTTACTGCACCTTTTAAACATCCCATCATATTTAATTATGCCTCCTTGCTAGGGTTGGATACCGGTACTCGGTACCAATACTGTACCGAATAGTTACTTCAAAAATACCGGTAAAATACCGTTTCATTTAATACTGGTACTAATAACTGTACTTCTTAATCTTTAAAACATTTTAATACATTTAATTTGATTTAAAAAAAAAACACATTCCAAACTTGCTAAAATCGAATTCTCCGCTCATTGAAAGGTAGGCAAATTACATGTAACGAAATGGATTCTTAGAACGATACTTACTTTCGACTGCCGATATTCGAGGTAAATCAATACGTATATTTTTTTTTTAAAAAATCAAAATACATTCACATGAATCTTATTTTAATTTTACAAATAAAAACTAATAATAAATGTAAATTAAAAAGGCAAAATGTCGCAAAAAATGTGATCTATCCATTATATAATGTTTCGTCATTTAGTGAGACCAAACAAAAGGTATCCTGGCAACCGGGTGAAGCAGTGAGCCGATTTGTGCAAATTAATTTGTTTGGGATTCAATTGATTTGTTTTGTTGATCATTATTTAAAGGTTGAAATGAAATGTTTGTAATTTGAATATTAGGAATATCTTAAAAGCATGGAACAAAGTTTATAAGCTCATTTTAGATTATATCATTGAAAGGTTAGTGAATGGTGAAAGCACATTTGTCATAAAATGAACCCTCATTCTCATTCATCAATGCATATAAGTACCGTATCGTTAAAAATACCGTATCATTTCAAAAATACCGGTATGGTATCGTACCGTTTCATCCTTAACGGTATCCAACCCTACTCCTTGCCTTGTAATCCAAGATTCCTCTGACTCTTAACCCTTGCTTTTATAATGTGACATGAAATAAGATCCAAAATATAAAGTTGTAAAGGTAGGCTGAGTCACGACACCAGCTGGTGTCACTGAATTCCCACTTTTCAAAATGGCCCAGACTCTCCCCCTCAAGTCACAATATAAAAGCAGGAATTAGAGTCGGAGGAATCTTGGATTACTTGCCTTTATACATTATTTTTGCTTCATTTGTTAAACAATATACAAATCTGTTAAGTGTAGAGTTAAAATTCATCTTCTGCAACGTAACTAGATTTATTACAATCATGAGAATGGACATGAAGTCCTAAAGAATCTGCACCAAGGTACAGGGAATTCAAGGTTTCGAATGATGAGTCATGCACTCCACAGTGACACACATCCATATGAAAAGGTAACAGTAAAAATCGAGGAAATCTCAGGTTCCATAAATCAGTGTGTTATTACTGATCAGTGGTTCAAGTTTTGCCAAGTTTCTCCGAACAAAGTTTTACACTGACTGTCATTGCAAACCTTCTCTTGACTTTGTTTCGTCACAATAAAATTAGAAAACCTTTAATTAATGAGCGAGAATTTCAACACATTTAGCAACATTATATACAAACCTGATCACGCTGTCTACACCAGTCATCACAAAGACTGCTAAATATATCATCACGTCGAGTACATGACAATGGGGGGGGGAGGGGTATTCATTAGCGGTTTTCCACATGTAATATTATCTTACCAGTCATAATAGCGGTTGGATCAAATTTGGGACCCATCTTTGTTTTATCTTTTTACTTTGACAAATATCTAGATGACAGTTATGGTGTTGGATGAGCCCAGCTGGACACGACCAATCGCAAGTTGCACCACACCGTCGAAAAGGTATGGGGGAAAAGGAAGTTGATCTGTTTACTTCCGTTTACATTTCACAAACAGGGAACCAATTTAGGCGGTAAAATTTAAAATAAGGAAATTCATTATTATCTTGTAGTCTTTAGAATATTACTGCTTGGATTAATCTACATATCTATTTAAATGATTTATGGAGCATTTATATCCCATAGTATTTTATGCAGTTAGAATTATCTGCCCTTGGATCTAAATTCAAGTAAATTGAAATCTACAATGTATTTCTCAATTTTTAATCAATATTCAAGCATTCTTAACATTTTAAAAGGCCAAGATAAATTAACTGAACACTTCATTTGCATCCAGTGAATTAAATAACAGTGATTTCTGTTCATTGGTGCTTTGTTGTCTTTGAAATTTTTCCTGGGTTTAAATGACATGTACCATACATAGGGGAATCTCGGTGAGTGGGATCATTTACACTTTTAATGGGTTCATCGCTGTCGAATCTGAACGGGATTTCGTGCCACAATCGCATTTGTAACCTTCATCCATTTATAAACTCGTTCAATGTATCATGTTGTAAATTTAAATTTATACTGAGGTAAATGCAAAATTTACAACATGATATACAGTTATTATGTTGTAAATTTTTTACCTCCCCTAGTAAATTCAAAATTTACAACATGAAACATTGAGTGAGTCGAGATCGATCACAGTGAATAACAATAAAAGTTGGGACACTGAAATTGGGTCCTTGTTACTTTCTTTAAGTTATGACATACGAAATTAAGTGATACGTACACTCTCTCTTATTGGACGTAGCTCGCACAGTTTTATAAGGGGAACAGTCCAGCAAACGATCCGAATTAAAGACCATTATCCTCGTCTTGTGCCTGAAAGTATAATTTAAAGGGCGGGAGTGGTGAAAGCCAACACCCAACGAATATGGAAAACATGAACCTAATGATGCCTATGAAACTGGTCGCATTAACATTGATAGCAGCATTGGTCTATTTTTGATTTCACTGTAGTCAATGTTTTCGTTTCCTTTTTTTGCAAAATGATTTGTTCAGTAGTACTTAAGGAACTCATCCTCAAGTACACTTGAATTTGAAGGGTTTTTTTCTTCAAAATGTCAGGATGCTGTTACAATGCATTGCAGCTCATATAAGATGCAATTTTATTAATAGATTTCATGTATATATTTAAAGATATTTTTTCACTTCCCAGCATTATTTTTAACATTATGAAATATTATGATAACCAATGTATTTCTTTTGTGGATAATCTGCTCTGCCATGCATGCACGCTTCCGGGTTGATAGGCACTCTCTATAGAGGGAAGTGCTCAATCTACTCCAGTGTACACTTCGAAGTTTGAAAAAAAATATTGACACTCTCTAAACTGAAACAAACACAGCGTTATTGTAGTACTCCATACGTTTTCCTGGATTAACTTCACAGCGGTTTTTTTTTTAATTATTTTTTTTTAAAAGGAGAAAACAAGATGGAGCGGCTAAACCAAACCAATGACGACGGATTTCGATCAACAGAGGATTTGAATCGTTTTCTTGCTCACAAATATCAAACCAACACAGTACTTGTATCAATATTGTTGAGTATCGGCGTTATCGGGAATTCGATTGTTATCTTGACTTATCACTTTCGGATGAAAAACAAAAGAGACGATCGTTACTTTATTCCATGTCTTGCGATTACAAATATGTTGGCTTGTATGTCTGCTTCTGTTATGTCGGTGACGATGAACTCGATTCCTGCCATGTTTACGTCAGAGTCGCTGTGCAAGGGCCTCAATTTCGTTACACGAGTGACGTGCGTTGAATCGTTGATTATGTTGCTGATAATATCGATGCAACGATACAAAAAGATTTGTACGAAGGGAAGAAATCGATTTTCTTTGCTTTGGAAGCGGTTAGCAATCGTTATATCGATCATTGTGAGTTCGATATTCTCGTTTCCCACATTGATATTTTATGGCATAAAACCGATAAAGAGAACCAGATACAACAATATTACAGAATTTCATTGTGAACTAACAACAAACAGTGACCATGCCAAATATGGCCTACACGCATATTTAGCTTTTGTTGCTTTGTTATTCCTTGGGATCGTTTTAAGCATCAGTGTGATCTACACCTTCATTGGAAAAAGAATCCACTCAAACATACAGCCTCCTCAGAAAAGTGCAGTGTCCACCTCCTATGACAGTTTACACTACAATTCTTTGTTAAAGTATTCCAAATCAGACAGCAATCTACAGAACAGGCTGCAGGCGCCCCTGGACGAGTCTTCGGATGCTATTTTACAAAAGTTTACGGAGAAAAACGGAGTTCCTCCAAAAAGAAGTCAATCAGAGGCTGGAAAAAGAAAATATACCGTGTCAGAAGTCAAAAAGGTGCGATCAAGAATAGGAATTTTTGTGTTCCGATATTATTATATGTTTGTCTCTATATCTTTTGTGACATTTGTTTCTTTTATTCCACCAATCATAATCATGGTACTGGAAGCCATTGATTCTGAAGTGATAGGTGACATTTCCTCTGACTTTGGATTTAATTTCATTCTACTACTTCGCCGTAGCTATCTTTTTAGTTACACAATTAATCCATTTATGTTTGGTTTGTTCGATACAACTTTCCGGAAAGCCTTGATCGACGTTTGTCAACTTGTTTGTCTTCCATTACGATTGCAGACCTGAATGTCATCTTTTATTTCATGATTTTTGTAAAGTAATTCATAATATAGCATTACCACTTACATTTTTTGGAATATTACACTGCTATGTGAGCAGTATTAGTATAAAAATACAGGCATCAACTGTATTGGAGTATGAAACAGTCTGGCTCCCGAAATTATCAATATGGCAGATATACTGTTCTATATAATTCTATACTTTTTGGATATACATATAGTATTTAATGGTTTTTCTTTGTTTTAAGGTATTCAATGTATAACGACCATATTTTGTACCTAATAAATGAGTGGTCCGATATTTTTAAACATGGTAGCATTTTGAAGGTGTTATTAAATAAAAATACTCCACCAAAGGAATTTACAAAATTTTGATTATTATCAAATAAATTTCATCTTGAATTTTACATTGAAGTCTATGGGCAGCGCAGGTTTTATTAAGATATTGTAAAAAGTAATTTGAATTTCATTCAGATCTCTTGGTGAAAATATGCAAAAACTCTCTCTTTATTAAAATATGAAATGAAATAAATCATTTACCACAGATATTTTGACAAAATTAAAATTTTGTTTTTTTCGTCAAGGGCAGATAACTCTTCTAAAACTTTTAAGGTGCAAAATGACCAGCTTCTTTCCTGTTATCAGTCATATGAATTTGGTTCATTTCCTTTTCATAGTTATCTAGCAATGCATTTTTAACTAGTTTAAAATGATTAAAAATTGTTCAGAATCCATTCATTATACATTGAATACCTTAAGCATGTTATTGATAAAATTTTATTGTTAAACAAAAATTCACACAATAAGTTTATAAACGGATTAAACTAAACTTTTAAAATAAATAACGCCTTGTCTCAAAATTCATATCTTATAGGAATAAAGGATGTAAAACATTATCAAGTTCTGTGTAAAGACATATGGTACAGTGGGAACTACATATTTTTGGTAAATATTCTTTATCAATAAACGTTTTGAAAAGTTTTTTTCGATCTACACATTAACAATGTGCGCATATTTAAAATGTATTAAATCAATATGATTACATTTTTTTTAACTTAGTATTAATTGGGAGGTTTTTTTTTTCGAAATGTTATACACGAGTATTACACAATAACGGGAAAAAATATCTACCTCTGTATTATATTAATTAAGGGGGTGGTAAATATCGTAACAACAATTTCAATTTAAATCATGAAAGAGTATGGCGCCTAGAAACTCAAGACACAAAGGAGTTTCGGAAAACGTGCCGTTTTAATTATTGCTGATAGAAATAAAGATCTTCCTTCCGCTTTTTGTGGAAATTCATTAAATGAAACATGGCTCATCAATTAATTAGTCTTATCATTTCGATTCATTATATCCCCATCTCTTATATTTTTATTTCAATTCAAACACTTTATAAAAATCATATACGGAAACGGTGCTCTTAATCCCCATGTTAAATACTTAGATAAAGTAATAAAGTCCTCAAGCTGGCTTTTTTTTAAGGAGATTCAAATATGGGAAGGTTCTTCAAATATTTCATCCTCAATTGTTGATCCAAGATATCGTGACTACACGTCACTGCGACTAGGATGCGACGTACCTCTCCGTTACGGAAAACTTTGTTATTATTATATTGATTACGTTCTAATTACAGTTAATTTATTGCAATTAATTGGAGAATATGATGTATTATTTTTTTTAATTTTAATTGTAAATACATGTAAGTTCAATTCTGTAAACAGTACATAGACAGAGAACGCTATATTTGTGCAGTACAAGCGCAACGCTAAAGTTGGTACAATGGGAATTTGTGCGAAGTTGTTCTGAACTTCACATTTTCGAATGATTCTAATAAGTTATGACAAAATTTCACTTGAAATTAGAGAATAAAGTAATGGTGTATAATATAATATTGTATGTCTTGTCTAAAGTACATGTACAGTCTAACCACTACAAATGAACATTCATGCGTCTAGAGAAGGTTTGGAGCTTACCCCCTAATGCAATAAGTACATTTCCCCTCTACTCCTACAAGTAAGAGCCTCGATTAACGTCCCTACGCTCCTTATATGGCGCCAAGTCAAAAGTCTCTCGCCGTGAACCTCTAGTATGCTGGAGTAATTTCCCCTCGAGCTCCCCTTTGGCACAATCTGTATCAAACTTCACCCATAGGGTGTCCCTGGGCAAAGGTTGTGCGGTGAACTTGAACCAATATTTGCAGAGGGAAGATCAAAGTCTAAAAATATCTCTGTGTAAAATTCTTGTATACTAGAATTTTCTTTCTTCGTCCTATGTGGCCCATACTTCACCCTGAGTGTGGTAAAGAGTGTGCAGCGACCTTGAACCAAGTTTGTAGGTCAGAGGTCAACTCAATCTTTGTGGTTAGCATATTTGTTCTCCCCTTGGCCCCATCTGCATGGCTCATACATAAACCATCTGTGAGTAAGATGTGTGCAATCACCTTGTCAATGAGTTGAATGTCAAAGATTTATGTCAAAGCATGCGTAAAAAAGTTAGAATTCAAGATCAATTAAATATTCGTGTAAAATCCTTTTCTGGAATATATATTGAGTCCTTATTTGGAGCATGTTATGTTTGAATCAAGTGAAAGGTTAATTTTTTGTGTAAACCCCTTTAAGGGGTATATACTCTCTCCCCTTATTCCGATTACACTCAATATCTATCTCATTCATACTGCCTTTGGGAAAAATATATCATAAGTAAATGTTTATTTGCAAAAACATTAATTTTGTTTTATTGCCTCTATTAAATATCAATTTATGCAATTTATTTTCTAACGGAGCTAGGAAAAAATATGATTACATGTATCTATTCAGTTACGTAATCCTAATGATCATAAACTCAATAAACGCAGTATTAAATCTATTGAAAAGTTTTCCTTTTTCCTTTTAGTTATTTACCAAGAAAAAATGAAAGAAAGAAAGGCAAATAGCATATTTTTCCCCTTAACACATAGACAAAAGAGTTTTCTAAGCACAAAATGCATAGTGGTCACCAAATACAGTCCTTAGAGGTCCCTTTCTCATATATGTCTTTTACTGATAGCGGGGCCCTTTGAAAGTGACGATATCATTAATTCATACTTTTTACAGCTATAAAGATAATATATTTTACAAGGACATAAAGCCTTAACGAGTGTTGCTACTGACCACTTTTATTTTTTGGACTATGCAACAACTAAATAAATACAATCACTGCATTTTGTCAATTAAGTGTCTACCAACAAATAACCAGGATATCCTGTTAAAAATTTGCCACCGATAGTTATACAGTGAATTGGGGGGGGGGGGGGGGGGAGTCATTTTTCATCTTGAATACAACTAGATTTATCAAATCAGTTAGCAATCGATTTTCTTAATTTAACTATAGTGATGAAAAAATGAAGCCAGAGAAGGAGAAAAAATGGCACATTAACGTTGTATGAAGCTCCCCTCTTTTCCTAGAATAGTCTTTTGCTGGTAATTTAGTTTGAAAATTTTTCTTTAAAATGCCGATTGGTCCTCCACTTTTTTTTCCAAAAAGAGACCCCCCCCCCCCCAGACGAAATATTTTTTCAAGGGCAGTTTTCCTTTTTTCCTTGTCAAAGTTTTTTACAAGCACCCCCCCCCCCCCCATAAAGTAATGCTACGTCGCTGAGAATATTGCTGCGTGTTCCTTTGTTTTATCGATACATATTGATCAGAAAATTTCTACCCAGGTAACTTCGGGCATTCCATCCATACGAGTGTTTAATCGAACTAAGTCGCAAGGTTACTGAAAAACATGGGGAAAGTAACCAAAACAGGTCTTGCATTTATGTCGACATCTACTTCATTTATAACAGTGTAATACCTTTCTCGGGTAAATAATGCATGAGATGGGTGGTGTTCAGTGTAACTCCCTGGAAATTAATCTTTTTAAAAATGATATTGCAAAGAAGTATACACGCCACTGAATGCAGAACGGTCTCAAACATTTACTATAGCAAAATACAATACTATAATCAGAAAAAGTGAGGGGGGGGGGGGCTCCCCCCTCCCCCGAGTTCCATGGGCCTGAAAAAAATTAATACAACTCTCAAAGAGAGAGAGAGAGAGAGAGAACCTGTGCCTAAGTTACCATTACATAGACCCACCCCCATACCATAGTCAATTTCTTGTATATACAACCATTTGATAAGATCTAGAGACAAGAATCTCAGATACCGCTCATATATTAAACCTATTCTACCAGCTTAAGCTAGGTAGTTCAATCCTCAGGTTCTGAAACTCAGAAGTTGTTAAGAAATTGAAAATGCTCACAAAAATGTCTTTGAATTCACAAAGTAATGTGTATTTGCACATGGTATTTCTTTGTTATAGGTAATCATATTATATAAGGAAAATGTTCAGTCTAATTATATTTTTCAGGAAATGCGAATAAAAACACCAGCTATGCATTTTCTGATTGAAAATTGATCAACAAATATATTTCAGGACAAAAAAAAACCTTAGGTATCTATGTATTTGGAGAAAATGGAATGTTTTTTTGTTTTGTTTTTTTTTTGAACTTGCACTTACACGGTATTTTAGTTCTTCAGTTAACTTAGTGTAAAAAGCTTGTGCTATTGCAACACATTACAGATTACTTCCTACTTCATATCATGCTAAAAAACATTGCTATTTAAGGCTAGATTAACGGATAGCCGATTTCTCGAAAAATGTATTTATTTTTGTTCTTTAAATGGGGTCAAATGACCTGCGTGACCTAGCATTGACGTTACGCGCGATGTTGGTGCCATCTTACAATTTTAGTATCAGACCAATAAAACCTATATTGGTGATTTCTAAAAAATGCTCGCAATATGAATGATTTTGGTATTAATCATTAGGTTTTGAATAGAACTACTCGATTACAGTCGAAAATAAAATTTAAATAAATTTCATGCAAAATATAGAATTTTACAGAGCAAATTACTTACATGTATATTTTAAGCGTGTAACGCGTTACATTTTTAAGCAATAATCGCGCATTTTTCTTGGGAAGAGTGCCCGGCTCAAAAAT